GAATGAGAACAGGAGGCGGGAGGAGCCAAGAAGGTGAAAAACTCAATATGTGTTGTAATTTTCCTAAGGGAGCTTAAATTATTAAATCGGAATAAGCTACATCAAGGACACGAGGCGGGATTACATTATTCCACACTCTTTGACCGACTTCCCAAGGTTGAAAGTGAGCCAATTCATGTGCTACCCTATTTCCCTCACGTTTCACAAACGACCACTTGACGTTAACAAAGGAAGTACATAAAGCTAAAATATCCTCAATCACAAGATGAAAAGAACTAGAACCTACTGCTTTATCCTTTAGAGCTTGAATGACATTGAGACAATCCCCTTCAACCACTACATTACCCACTCCCTGCTAAATTGCAAGCTTCATTCCCCAAGCAATAGCATTTGCTTCTGCTATTCTTGTATCCCACTTAGCAGGTGATTGAAGCACGCCACACCCTCGCACAGCACCACTGCTATCACGCAGCACAGCCCCGAGCCCAGACCCAAGCTCCCCAACAACACCCGCATCAACATTAAGCTTGAACCAGCCCTCCTCGGGTGGAGACCAGACTGCAGGTAAAGAGTTTGCAGCCCCTCCCTTGCCTGCTACTGCTCTGAGCCCTTCTTCACGAACCTCCCCACACACCCGCATCGCATAACCCACAATCTCTGAAGGCACAGGCTGCACACCTTCAATTACTAGGGAGTTACGGGCACTCCAGATTACCAGCTAAGAGTAACAATATTCGCTATCTCAACATCATCAAATTCAATAAAACAACTTTCCCACTAGTCTGACAAAGTATGAGCACTTAGCTCCGCTACAAAAGCATACTCACTGCAGCTCCACACACTTTTAGCTAAACAACAATCCTTCAAGGCATGAATGGTGGTCTCTTCATATCTTCCACAAACAGAACACAGAGGGTCATAGGACGAAATTCGGTGACTAATTTCACTTCGAGTTGGGATTTCATTCTGACACACACGCCAAGCAAAGACCTTGATCCTGGGCAACACTTGAAGTTTCCAGATTTTCTTCCAAATGGCTCTGCTAGTAGAAGAAGCAGCCTCTTCACTACACCACTCATCCTCAAAAATAGCACGATACGCTGAATTCACCGAATAATCTCCACTCTTCTCAAGATCCCAGCAGAGGGAATCACTAGGCAGCCGTCCACTCATAGGAATACCAAGTATTCTTTCTTGTTCAAAGGGGGGAAACAATTGAGAGACCAAATCCACATTCCAGCAGCAGTTAACCTAATCAATTAAATCAGCCACCATCATCAGAGTTTGCTGAACCACGAGGTGAAATGACCTTTTGAGACTGAATATTTGGCAACCACGCATCCGACCAAATTCTGATTTGTTGACCATCTCCCACCCTCCATCGTAGACCCCTTCGAACCACCCACTGTGCCTCACATATACCTCTCCAAGTATAACTTGGATTAGTACCCAAGCTAGCATCCAAGAAAGTCGAACTAGGGAAGTAACGATTTTCAAGAACTTTTCCTAACAGACTATCCGGTTTCATTAATAATCTCCAAGCTTGTTTACCAAGAAGTGCCCAATTAAACATTTTGAAATCACAAAATCTCAAACCACCATCACTCTTCAATTTGCATAATTTCTTCCAAGCTAACTAGTGAATTTTCCTCTCTTCATGATTTTGGCCCCACCAAAATTGAGCTACAAGAGATCGCAATTCATCACAAAACGAGGATGGAAATTTAAATACACTCATCGCATAAGTAGGAAGAGATTAGGCCACTGCCTTTCTATGTTGCACCGATACGGACACGGACTCGGACACGGGTACGATACGGACACGAGAAAACGACAATCCTAAAATAGGGGACACGAGTACGACAAATAACAAGACATATAATATATCAAAAAAACGAGAATTTGACAATTTATTCAACAAAACACTATATAATTAACCTCAAAACAAGCAATTTTGTTTAAAACAAATAAATAAATAAAGTGTTACGAGCATAGTCGTATACACATCTAGAAACCAAATAAATGTCTTAATAATAGTTTTTCAAACCATAAATAAAATAAACATAAGTACTAATGCAATTTCAGCAAGACAACAATACAATTTCAGCAAAACAACAATACAATTTCAGTTCTTCACTTCTTCATGCTCATATCAAATGCATTAAAGTTTAATAACACAAGTCCAGCAACTAGCCAACTATACAGTATACATTAAAGTATCAAAAATCAAATTTTCAATTCTTCATTCCCAAATCCCAACAGCTCATATCAAATTAAATTAAACAAGTCTAGCAACTATACATTAAACTATTAAAGTTATGTTTTACATTCAAAAACAAGTCCAGCAACAAATTAAAGTAATTGAATTTCAGAAAGTTAATTGAATTAAAAAAAAAAAAAAAAAACGAAGTAAAGAACCATACGGCCATACCTAGTGGGTGGTGGTGACGACGGACAAAGGGTGACGATGAGACTGGTGGGTGGTGGCTGAAGACGAACGTCGGTCACAAGCGACGGCGAAGGCAGCAGGCGAGCGACAAGCCGACGACGAAGAATTCGACAACTTGAACAAGATCTGAAGCCCGAAACAAGATCCTACACAAAAATTAAAGATAAAAAAAATGTCTTACACTCAAACATCTATGCTTAAACATAAATCACCAAACACCAAAGCAATGGAGGGGAGGAGGTCGGAGGTTAGGAGGACTTACCGGAATTTGTGGTGGTTCTGGTCGCGGCGACGGAGGTTCGGAGGTCGGAGGTGGCGTCGTTGGTGGCTACGAAGAACTACTACAGATAGGGTTTCACGGGTTTTATTAAAAAAAAAATTAAAAAAAAAAAAACAACACTAACCACCGGCGGCGTCAGGGGCTGCAGAACCTTGCTTTGGTGGCAGCGGTTGTCGGTGGTAGCTGCGGAAACGGCGGTGGTGAGGGTTAGAGATCCGGAAAAAAAAAATAAAAAAAAAAACATCATAAAACCAACTCCACTTACCAAACGGCGGTCAAGGCGGTGCGTGGAACCCGGTGGTGGCAGCGGATCTGAGACAGCTCTTCCTCTTTCTTCCTCTTCCTCTTTCTGGTTCTTTTTTTCTCTCTCCTCTGTTGCTTTTGCTGAAATTTCGTGAATAACAAGGCTGAGCATCCTATATTATGTTGTATTATAACCTGTTCCGACGGAATTAGTAATTAAATGCTTAATTTTCCGACGGATTATTCCGTCAGAAGAATTTAATTATGACGGAATTAAATTTCGTTGCAATAATTTCGAGGGATTTTCCGTCGTAAAGTATCTTTTCTGACGGAATTTTTAGACAGATCCTAATTCCGTCGGAAAATTCAAATTTTCCGTCGGAATTTAGGTCCGTCGGAACGATTCCGTCGGAAAATGGCCTATTTCTAGTAGTAAAGTTTACTTTGACTTCACCTCTTACTCTAAAGTGTCTTAATGTGTGAGTGGTGTGTAACCTTAAGGGACAATCCGACAATTACAATTGTGCACCCCGATTGTGCTGGAATTCGTTTTTAAAGGCAATGATTTATTATGCCACACCAAATTTCTACTATTATATTGATCTTGTTTACTTTCGTTGACTTTTTGTATTAGACTCCATTTTTACAACATACCTAAGTTTAAATATATTTGTCATAAAAACACTAGCATTAATTCACTTGCTTGTAAATCTTCCAATCAAGCCAGTCTTTTGAATGTCTAGTAAACTCCTTACATTTTCAAGAACCAGGAGCCTCACCTAACTATTGCTTTGAGAAAGCATATCATGACCAAAGTTTGAAAAAAGAGCTGAGTGTTCATTGACGACAATGCATATGTCAACAAACCCTCTCAATGGCCTCAAATTGGTCCATGCATATGACCAAACCTTGCAACAACTTCTTCAAATGTTGGTTGAAATACACAGACAATTGTTGAGACTAAAATTCAGAGCTTAATCAAATCAAAGTCAATTATATCGTTTTTAATTTACCTTTTGCACTTTCTATTTAAAATTACTCACTTAACTCTACATACATATACCATAAACAAACTTTAAAAAATTATCCATTAAATTATACAATCCTTCCAATAAATCTCTTATCCTTTTAATTTGTTGGTGTTCACTAGTTATCATTACAATAAAAATCAAGTAATAATTTTTTAATTAGGTCCCTCCCACATTTTAAAATCATACTCTCCACTATCAAGTACAACAATAACATATTGTTATAAATGCCAGTTTCAATTTCTTACATTCTATTTGCTTTAAGCAAACCAAAACTACTACCTATAACTACATTTACACAACAATCCATAGTTGATACTAACAAAATATATTAAGATCTAAATTTAATCTTTCAAATTGAAATTTAAGAATCTAGTATGACGGGAACCATAACTTCAACCAATTAGAAGCAGGTAAGTGCATGTCTATGTTTGGCCCACATAAACTATCTATGTGTAGCTTTTTTGATACAAATGACCAAAACCTAGCAAACAACATAGCAAATACAAAGATAATCGTTATGACTGAAATTTAGGTTTAATCAAACTAAAATCAAAACTCGTTTTTCATTACCTCTTACAATTTCCATTGAAAAACACCCATTATACCTCTACATTGACTACATACACTATAGACTTCACCAAATTACCCTTATTATCCCATATTTCATCAAATCATCCATTTATAGTACATCATCCTTCCAATAAAGCCCCGTTCACTTCACCTTATTTTTGCTGAACTGAAATTATTTTTGTTGAACTGAAATTATTTTTACTCAACTGAAATTAATTTTACTGAACTGATATTATTTTTGCTGAATTGAAATTATTTAACTGATTTTCTATTATATTTCTTCTTTGAGTTTACTGATTTTTACTGAACTGAAATTATTTTTACTAAATATTATTATTTTTTTTAAGCTGAAAAATGAACATGCCTTACTCTTTAGCTTTTCATTTGTAGGTGTTAACTACCTGTCATTACAATAAAAATCAAGTAATAATTCCTTAATAGGGCCCTCCTCTCACATTTCAAAATCATAGTCTCCACTATCACCCCTTTTCTCTCCCTCTCCCTTTCCCTTTCCCTTCCCCTTTCCATTCCTCTCTTTCAGACACATCCTTCTCTCTATTTGTTTCATTTTTTTGGCCGGCAATTACACTTTCATCAACAATTCACAATTATGAGCTTCCAAGATATCAGGAATGGCGTAGGCCGCCCAACTTCTTCGTCGCGTTCTTCCACACAATCACCATCTCAAGCCGTTGCGGCCGGTATTTTTCAGATCAACACCGCCGTATCCTCCTTTCGCCGCCTTGTCGACGCCACCGGAACATCTAAAGATACTCCTGATCATCGCCAGAAATTGTTCGTTTTCTTCCCCAATTTTCGAATTTTGAGCCCTGATGAATTATTGTTTTTCATGAATTGTGATCATTTTTTTTCTTCTAATTATGGATGATTTTAGGCATAATACAAGGCAGCGTATATTGCAGTTGGTTAAGGATACTTCTGCTAAGCTTAAAGCTCTCAGTGATTCCGACCACTCTGCTAATGTCACGGTAATCTCTCTTTTTTCTTCATGTATGTCATTTTGTTTGAAATAATTGACGATTTTTAGTGTTTTAATTGAATTGTATTTATCCTAATTGAGTAGATTTCTACGATTTATGATGCTCGATTTTTCATATTAATTCATTGGTATGCAAATTAATTCCAATTCTTAGAATTATTTTTACATGAATTTTGAATTAATTTGCAGTTTTAAATCCTGCATTACCATTATTTCCTCTTTAAATTTGTTCTTAAAATGCATTCTATGAAGAATTTTTTTATTAATTTACTATATGTAGTGCTCCATCCGTTTCATAATGATATTATGTAAATCGATATAAGTTTTTACCCATCTTTGATTGCAAATATCTTAAGTATCACATTAGCAAAAATTATAAAAGTTAGATATTAATAATGTACTTATCAAGACGAATCAAACTAGATTTCACATGATTATATTTGTTCTTATCGATTGAGAGAAATTAAGAACATTCTCTCTTATTTTTAAAAAGTCAAAGATTCCAAACAAGAACATCATTGTGGAACGGAGGGAATAATTATTTTAGCTAATTAAATAAATGGAGCAGCCGAAAAGGTGTCAGGGATAATTCGTACAAATATAAAGTTTTTGGTACATGAGATATTGATATGTGATCCAAGGTTTAACAATGTATAGAAGTAAAAATGTGGGTTTTGTTTTTGACAATGGAAGGGAATTGACTAATTGGGTAAGTCGTTGATTTCTTGACTTTGTAGTTGATTATGTAATTCGATGAAATGAGAAATTTTTGTGCAACTTTTGTGTGTTGGATCTTGAAATGAAAGGTTTACACTAAGGGGGCGTTTGGTATCAAATTAGTAAAGGTAACGGATTGGAAACAAATTAGGGGGGAAGGCCGGAAGGGTAATATATAGTGTTACCCTTACTAATTGTTTGGTATCACTAAGGAAACGTAATCAATTAAAATCAATCTATTTCCTCTTGTTTGGCATAAATAACTGGGAAAGAAATAATTTTCCTTTCATTTTTTTTTGTTGTTTTTGCTACATATTATGCAATGTAGAGCAACACTAATTACCATAAAATGTCATATGCTAGATAAAGGCAAATTGGCTAGTGACATAAATCATAGATTACGAAATCATTGAAATTGTTGCTTTTTGGGGAAAAAACATTCAAAATTCATTGAAACATAACTTCAACAACTTAGAACAAAACTTTCTACATCTTCTTAAGAAGATCAATCGCATCATCTTCTTCATCACTCTCGATATTTAATGGTTGCTTATCAATCTCTTGGTCCATATCTTCTATAGCATCAACGAACGACTCACTTTCATCTCCGGTAGCTTTGTCTTTTGCATATAATTCCGCTAGAGTATCATAGTGAATGAATGAAACTCCAAACAACCCCTTAGCTTTTCTTATGAGTCTGCCAGATAAGAGCAAATGCAACAATATAATGAGACAGTCTAAAGTGACTAATTCTTAAAAAAAAAATCTGATATAGCAATAGTGGTTAGTCTGGTAGAAAATGCAAATTAAAATATTAGCAACTAACAGCAAGAATGTCACATCAAAAACATCATTAATCACACATTTTTCATCATTAGCAGCAAGCCATATAAATGTCCCTCCTGAATCAGAAATTAAACAACAAGAACAGCAAACAACAGTCGGCATATCAAAGAGGAAAATTCAGCATATATTATAAGACTAAAAAGCAGCATATGTTATAAGATTAAAATGCCTCTTTTCTTGCTAACTTTCTGTCCAAACTACACCCAGTCTCCACTAAATCAATACAATTATAGAAAGAAGAAAATTGGAGAGTTCAGAAATGGTCTTATTGTATGTGATAGTGCTTGCAAATATCCTTTACTTATTTTCAAATTGAACTGCACAAAGTATCACCAAATGAAATACTCTATTTCTACATTTTCAAGTAACATAATTTTACTAGACCAATACTCCTACATTTAGCTGCATTAACCATAGTAAAACAATTCGAATATGAGTTGATCGCATTATCATTTATGGTTCATTACCAACATTTCACTCAAACGTTGAGTTGCGTTGGGTTATAAAGCAGAAATGGGTTAATTTCCTTAACACCAAATCATCAATTCATCACATAAATTCTCACTCAACCTACAAACACCCTTTTATCTGACTAATTGAAGACATGATCAGAAGCAAGCAAGCGGAAGGGCCAAGCTGAAAAGTAAGAGCATGAAAAATTAACACAGAAGCAAGCTATAGACGATCAACCTTAAGGGCAATATGAAAAGCCATGATGTACTGCAAAAGACTCCTCTTCATAACCCCATCATTCTTATCATCCACATAAGCCATGATGTCTTGCTGTACACATCGATATTCTTACTACTTACTAGTTTCTTATAAACTTTGTCTTCTTCTAGCTTTATATATGATTATTCTTTTCTCCCTATGTTTAATTTATTTCCAATATCCAAACTGCTTGGCTTCTAGCTGATGTGGTGTTGATAATAAGCAAAAATTTGACCACATACCCTGTGTCCTTGTGAACATATCCTTAGTTGTTTTAGCCTTATCTTCCCTATGGAACACAAAAGTCTGAGGCATAGTAGAAACCTTGAAAAAACCGTCCAAAAAAATGTGCACTAGTATCAATATACACTAGTATCATAAACAGCATATGTGATTAGCAATAAGGAATTTGCATTGTTCTTAAGCTGCTTATTCATCTAATTAAACAAATTTTCTTCAACATAAAAAAGCAAGCAAATTATCTCTAAAAAAACCTTAAAAAACACAAAATAACAAGCAAAATAACCAACCGAAATCAAAATTCTGAATAAGCAACTTCCTAATGCACTTAAAATCCAGAAAAATCCCCAACTATACAATCAACCCACCAAAAATAAACCAAAATCATGGGAAAAATTGGCGAAATAACACAAAATAACCAGCAAATTACAGGACACCCATTGGTTAAACCCTAATTCATCTAACCACAACAATTACAGGAAATAATAGCAATATATACTAATTAATTCAGCAGAAAATCAGCGATATTTGAGAAATATAAACCCTAAGAAAGAGAAAAGAAAATTTCAATCGAACAAGCAAGTAAAGAATTCAAACCAAAAAGCGACGAAATTGATATCGTATTAACCCTAGAAATTGAACAAGAGAAATGACAAGTAATTATGAAATCAAAAATAGGCAAATTAAATAGCAATCCATGTATTTCAAGATAAAAAATAAAATACAAACGATTAAAATCGAAATTATACAAATTCAACACAAATTTCAACACAAAATTCAAATCTAGGGTTTCCTTAACAAAAAATTGATAGATAACAAACCTGTTTGTTGAGATTGTTGATTTCAGGAAATTTGAGGTAGGAAAAATTGATCAAATTGAGCGAAATCTGGATATTCGATCGATCAAATTTGAGAGTTTTTTGTAGAATTATGGAATGAGAAGAAAGAGAAGAGGGTAGAATTGTTTTTTTTTTGGGTTAGAGGAAAGTAGCGTGATTTGTTTCCCTAGTTTTTACACCGGAAACAAAGTGATGGAATGGGTTACCACCAAGAAACGGATTGTGTTACTTTAGTGATTAAACAAACAGATTCAAAACGGAAACGGTAATCTGATTCCGTTTCCTTCCTTATGAAAAACCCATACCGAACACCCCCTAAGAGAGGACTTAAAACTATTTGTATCTCATAATAGATTTCTGGCTGAAAGATATTGATATATTAACAGGACATTTCTTTTGATTACGGATTGTGGTAAGGTATCTAAGGTTTGTATTCTTGTGAACATTGTGATTTGGGTTTGTTGACATGATGATGAGGCGAATTCTCGGAATTGTGCCTTAATCATTTGGGACTTTCATTTATTTATCAGCCACGTGTTAGCTTTCTTGCCTCTAATAATATGGAAAATATAGAACTCTTTCATGGAACCTTTTGCATTGCTACGTGCACTGCTATTTCTATACTTCATATCTGTGCATTTTGTTCATGTATAAAAGGAAAATAAGTTTTATTTTCCCCTATCTACTGTTATGGCTAAACTTGTATGGAGATGTTGTGTAATTTGTTTTTAAGAAAGTTCACATGTAAAGTAGTTTGAGAATCATGATTGTGTTATCTTTTCCAGCAAAGCAAAAAAATTGAAGATGCTAAGCTTGCTAGAGATTTTCAAGCTACTTTACAAGAATTTCAGAATGTTCAGCAGCTTGCTTCTGAGCGTGAATCATCCTACATGCCATCTGGGGCTCCAACTTCTGTTGTAACAGAGTATGCAATAAGCAATTTCTTAGTCTGTCATATCTTTTTTGAACAACAATTTCAAAATAATCTTTGCATGCTGAAAGTGGCGTTTTCCTTGGTTATTAACAGCTCAATTGGTGAAGAAGCAAAACAGGATCTTGAGAACCAACCTTTCTTGTTGGATCAAAAACGGTTAGACTTAACTTGATCTATTGCCTGTAATGCAGGCAATATTTTGTTCACTTTAGTTATAAAAAGGCTCTTTTCTTGTTAACTTATTTGAACAACTACTTAGAAAAGTAAGCTCTTCTCATCAAATTAAAATAAGCCATGGAGTAATATAAATTAATAAAAAGTTAAAGCTGAAAATGAGTCAAACTTTTAGAAATGGAATGAGTATATGATACTTGCAGTGACTAGGAAAGTAGCAATAGTGTAGAATCATATGTGCAGGCAACAATTGGTACTTTGGGATAATGAAGTTTTATTTGATGAAGCTGTTATAGAGGAGAGAGAACAGGGAATTTATTTTTTGGAATAAGATATTAAAAGTATATGGCAATAAGGACACGAAAATAAGAAAATTTGGTCCGATTGCGTCTAAATACTTCTGATGTGTATTATTTTAACAATAATAAAGTAATTAAAATAAGGTAAGGAAAACAAAGCATGTGCCTGTGATTTGTCAAGGAATGGATTGTTAAAATAAATTTGTTGAGTTTATTCCAACAAAATTTACTACTTGAAACTGTTAGATATTAGAACACTTTGCTTACAGATTTCTCTTGAATAAAATATTTTCCTTCAGTTCCTTTTATTGTCCTTTCTGTCATTTAGTACTTTTGTAAAGTTTGAAGTTCAATAAGATGTGTATGACGCTATGCATCCTTATGTTTTAAACTTGCAGCAACAATGCATTTTCTCATTCGTGTATGTGTAAATAGATCCTTTATACTTCATATGTTTCTAAATATTTGACTCTCTTATATTGTAGTTTCTACGAATGTTTGGGAAAATTGTGAGTTTGAAAAAGGATTTTAAAATGAGGCTGCCAGTTAATCTCCGTGATAAACAAAGGAGTAAAACCGCTACTTGAGGTAGCGGTTTTGATCAAAACCGCTATTTGAGGTAGCGGTTTTAAGACAAAACCGCTATCTCAAGTAGCGGTTTCAAGGCAAAACCGCTACCTCAAGTAGCGGTTTTACCCATTTTCATCACAAAAATTACACTTTTGTCCCCGTGTTAAACAAAATTTGTTTATCACGGAGATAAACTTGTATTTCCTCTTTTAAAATTAAGTGAGATTGAGTAAAAAGGTGGGTGAGTGTAAGAAAAAAAAGATAAGTAAGGGGGAGGAGTGAGTGGAAAGGTATAAAAATAGTGGGGTAAAGAGGTATTATGGGTGAGTCAAACTTTTGGAAGTACTTCAAAGCTGAAAGTGAGTCAAAACTTTTAAAAACGGAAGGAGTATATGATACTTGCAGTGACTAGGAATAACGTAGAATCATATGTGCAGGCAAGAATTGGTACTTTTGGATAATGAAGTTGTATTTAATGAAGCAATCATTGAGGAGAGGGAACAAGGAATTAAGGAGATACAAAGCCAAATTGGTCAAGTTAATGAAATCTTCTTGGACCTTGCTGTTCTAGTACACGAGCAGGGTGTAGTAATTGGTAAGATCCCATATTTCACACAGATATGCAAACTCGCATAGTCACATCTGGTTGTATATTCTTGCATTTGTATTTGCTTCAGTTTGTAAGTTTTACTGCTTTTGTAATTGCAGATGATATCCATTCTAATATTGAGGCTTCTGCTGCTGTGACAAACCAAGCGAAACAGCAATTATCTAAGGCTTCTAAAAGTGAAAGAACAGGTTCAACTTGGGTAAGTTTCAGAAGTATTTTACTGAAAGTTCATATCTAAATTTAAACATTTTTATTATGTGCCCCCTTCCCATGTGACAAGTCACTTCTATCATTATTCATTAGAGGCCAAAACAAATGGTAGGAAAATTTATTTAATTAATTGACTCCGTCTTGCATGGTGAGATAGGACATTGCTGAACTTAACTATGTTGAAGTCAGAGTATCATTAAGAAAGTGAAATGATGAACCTTGGACAACTGGACAATATACTTCAAAATATCAACTTTTGTACAATTTAATCAGCTTACTAAATCCAAGTCTATAAAATTTTCTGTTGACTAGGCATCATATAAAGAAGTAGTGTAGAGGAATTTTTCTAAGGATGGAATTTCTCTTCCTGAGATTGTAAAATCAAGTACAAAACAAGAAAAAGGATTGGAATTAAGGAACATAATAGAAACTAGAAAGGAAGAGATAAAAACCTCTTCATTCTTATTTTGTTTGGTTAAGGCAAGGGAAAGAATGAAAGTTGGTTTTGGGTCTTTGATACAGGGGAATACTAAACCCTCTTCCACAATCATACTCTCTCTTCCTTCTTTGTTATGCTCCACCTTCCTCATCTCCCATTGTACAAGCACCACGTTTAGCTTCACACTTCTTCACCTCTCACCACTGTATTTTGCTCTCCTGGTGATGTCTCATTTTGCCTCTCTCTGTTACCTCCGTGGCCTAAACCTTCACCGTTGGTGGAAAAGAGATGATCTAACTACCAAAAGCCAAGAACTTGATCAACTTTTTTGGGAAAAGTTTGTACTCAATTTTTGAGGACTATTTGTACTTCTCAAAGATTTGATTCTATAACTTTTTAGCTGAGTTATGTGCCCTTTCTTCTCTCTATCTCAGTCTCTCTCGTCTTTGTCCTGGTGTATATGGTTGACATGGTTAGATGTTATAGCAATGTTTTGGCTGGGAAGGGAAGCAATTATGTTGTGGTTGTTAGCTTATGGGGATGTGTTGGTGCCCTTGGTGGGCAATGGAAGTAGCAATGGTGGTGGAGCTGATGAAGAAAAACTTTGCCTCACGCGCTGTTAGGTACAAGGTGTTAGGATTTATACAATTTTGTGGTTTAAGCTAAGCCATATCAGCGCAGCTCAGGCGCTACAGTGTTGTCACGAATCTTTTTACCGTTAGGTGTGCCTCATTTCAACAAGGCACAGGGAACATCGAATAGCCTTGGTTGCACCTTAAGGTTTTTTTCTCTTTGGGTGAAATGGTGGAGGCTATAGAAAGGGAATGGATGGTGGCCATGGTTTGGTGCTTAAGTTGTTGAGTTTTGGGTTGTGTTACTTAGATTCTTCATTGTTCCTCAAGTGTCCGTGTTTGGTCTTTGACACTCCAACACGGGCATGGACACTTCAACACTTCATTTTGGACCATAATCATAGAAACAAAATAACCGAATCAAACATTATATGAGTCCGAGGTACATAGGTTGTGGGAATGGTTGTGTTAGAGGTGGAAACTGGTGTAGGATGGAAGCCCATATTGGGGAGTCAAAAGTTTTAGAAAAATGAAAATATAAAAGACCTGATTTTAGGGGATCTAACTGTCAAAGGAAAATGAGGGAGACTATTCAGTGTAGATGAATCTTTCAGTGAAACTTGAAAGTTAAAAGATGGTTTTCCAATTGATGTATGGCGAAGTATTAGTACATGTTGAAAAGCTAATTTGTAGCATATGTGAGTACAATGGAAAGTCTGCTTATGTTGGCAACTAATGGTAGAAGAGAATTCATTGAATCAATTTATATAAAGATCTGTTACTCCTTTGGTTTATACTCTTAATATTTTTTATGTAGCTGTAGTGTTTGCAGTGGCCTATTTATGTCCTTTCCTATGATTATACATTATTCCTATTTGTAATTGTTTTATTGTTTATTGTGGCACTCGACAGTGTTGGTGGTTGCTGGCTTTGTTTGTATTGGCGATTATTATCTTTGTGCTGATCTTAATCCTATAGACTGCAACTGAAGCTATAAAGTTGATGGGTTTGCGGGAGAGTGAATTCTACATTTTGGACCGGCCGATATTCTTTTCTTCTTATTTCTGCGGCTGTAGGAGCATTTTTTTGTAAAATTTTATGTATGCATGTATTTTTGCGGTGGTGTTTTCTGAAGGTTTGTCCATGTATTCCTATATATGTATGTTATTTATTGTTTCCCAAGGTTTTCCGTTTGTATATTCATTGTAATTTTTGCTCCTTTTCAATCGACATTAGACTGGTACAACATAAAAAGAAAAAAGAAAGAAAAAAAAAAAAAAAAAAAAGAAGAAGAAGTTGATGTTTTACGAGTGTATGGCTTGCTGTCTCTTATTGTTGGAGAAATTTGTTTCCAGAGTATATCCTGGCAAAATTCTTATGATCATTGTTTTGTTATGATTTTATAACATATACTCACACCACACTAATTATTGCCTTGACCTAATATTTTTTTTCATAGTGTGTTACAATGTGAACACAAAGTATTGGGTGAGATAAGCTTCACCCAAACATTGGTGAGATTATTATAACCACCCATTACAATTACAGCTGTTTAACAAACTCCTCCACTAACAGATTTTCTAACGACCCTTCCCACTAAAACAGACTTCTAATGTTAACAAACTAACTCTCAATTAGAGCTTCCCATATCAGTTTTTCATTTAAAAGTATTTGTTTTCCATGATACAAAGGTAAAAATTTAGGAAAATTCTCTTCGATAACACTTAATTTTTCATTTTTGTCAATGGTAAATTGGGAAAAAAGTTATTATCATTGGTAACATTATACTTTTTGTTACCAAATATAATGACTATTTTTAATAAAAAAATGTTTAACCGTGGCTAATTATATATTTTATTAATAATAAAATAATTTTAGAAATAATTTTTTTTTTAAAAAAAAATCAACCCTTGCACACCCACCCAGCCACCAGCTGACCACCTCTCCCCCTGCCAAAGGCGCCAAGCTACCCACCCCGCCAGCCAATCCCTCCCTCCCCTGCCGGTGACTTCAAAAAATTGGAAGAAGAAAACTCTACACCACCATCACCAATCAGTCAATCACCATCACTGTTAGTTTTACATTCACCAACTACATCAACAACATCATCAGCCTCCAATGAATCATGAACAAATTCGACTGCGGCGATGGCAAAGGCGTTGACTGCAGTAGCGCCGTAACACCGCTAAAATCACCCTCTTTGTTCGACCATGAAGCAGCAACAATTTGCGCAACATCGATGTTTCTACAGTTCCGGCGAGCCTTAGTGTTCAACTGCCGAACAAATTAGTCCAGAGGAAATCACAAGAACAAAGAATGAATGAAAGACCACTAGTACATTTTTAATTAAAAAAGGATAAATTAAATGCAGAGATCAATAACCTCGCGAAGCTTCGCCAATTCCGGTGATATTTACTGGCATTTGAGGAAGGGATGTCGGGTTTCAAGGTAGCGAAGAATTCAGGCTCAAAGCGGCACTCAAATGGAGGAAAAACCCTAACGTAACATTGCTAGAAACTGCAATAGAAGGAGGGTGTGGGGTGTCGTGGGGGTGGGGGTCGACGCCGGCCAGGGGAGGAGGGGAAGGTCTCGCTGGTAGTTGTTGGTTGGAATGTGGTAAGAAAAGTGGCTGCTGTTGGTTCGGGGGACGGGGAGGCCGGCGCGCCGGCGAGAGAGGGGTTGGGCGCCGGTGTAGGTGGGGGCAGGAGAATGCAGAGTGGTGGTTGGTTGGTGGGGGAAGGGGGTGACTTTTTTTTGTTTACAAAAAAGTATTTATTTTAATAAGTGTAAAACTAAATAAAAAAAAAAAAAAAACTAACTATAGTTAAATCTTTTCTTCAAAAAAAAAAAAAAAAAAAAAAAAAAAACTATAGTTAAATATTTAATTATAATTTATCATTAATGTTATGATTAGATTAATATAAAATTCAAGTTTACCAAGGATAATAAGATTTTTCACAATTTATCACTGACAAAAATAAAAACCTCAGTGTTACTAAAAAATTTTCCCAAATCAAAATATTCCAGGAAGCATGTTCACGTACATTTTTTCAGGTTCAAATTGGGAAGATCATGCAAGAAAGGATTAGTTTAGTTTAAACTGTTATTGTTATTGTTCTAATAGTGGAGCAACTAAGGCTTCCATTTAACAAACTTGTTCATGCAAATCTCAATACACTAATTAATTATCATTGGTTTATAATGCCTACATAGCTTAACAATTCCATTACCTAATCCAAATTTAGTGTGGGGAAAAGAGATGTAAGAAATTTCAGCAACTTTTGTGTGTGACCAACTAACACACGGATAACTCATGTTAGGTAATCCTTGATTGACCGAGTAACCCATGACCAATTAATCCCTGACCGGCCGAATAACCTCTAACTGATCGACTAACCCCTGACCAAGTAACTCCTGCCAATCGAATAACCCCTGACAGAGTGAAGAACCCCTGACTGAGTAACCCCTTTACTTCATCTTATTCTTCTTCAATGGGTCTCCTTCAAATCTACTTCAATAGCGTCGAAGAAGACGACGACGACGAACAACCCCAACTCCAACCCCACCAAACCAACCTAGAAACCCATACTTGTCATTACCTCGTGAATCTTTTTTCTTTGTTTTTCGCTTCTTTATTTTTTTTTATTTTTTATTTTGGCAAAAACCTTAAGTAAACTATTTATACCTTATGATATTTTCTTTCCATTTTGACAATCATATTCCATATATACCCAAATGAAATATTTTTGAATATCTTTTATATACTTTATGTAGTATTTTGTAATACTATTGTCAAAAATATTTAACAACCGTGCATTGCACGGGATTTTAACCTAATTAACAATTAAATTTAAAGTATATAAAAATCAAAATGAAGAAATAAAGTTTTCTGACAAATCAATTGCTCTAACACATGTGTATACAGAATACAAGGCCTTTTGATATTATAATTAAGGTGAATAAGTTGATTGCGGAAGATTTGTATGTTGCTTAAGCTATTGTTGAATTTATGACTAAGGCGATTTCTACAACGGCGAAGACGACAAAAGTTGCAAATTTTTCGGTGACAAAAACAGCACCGGAGGTGGTGGAGGTTGGGGTTGGAAGGAGGGAAGGCTACTGAAGAGGCACTGAACTGACTGAAGAGGATGAGGGAGTTTTGAGGATTAGGGTTTGGAGGTTGTGAAGATGATTAATGTGGCTGGCCATACGGCGTGGCCAACCACATATAAAAGTTTGTCAAGAAATTTTGGGACTTCTTGATGAAATTTGCTACCATGAATCACCTAAATTAAATTTTATGCAACCCATAATGATCTGATATACCTAATTCTCCATAAAACCGTCTTTAACTCGTTTCGATACAACTTTAATGGATTGAATGTGACTCAACCTTGAAATATGTTGAATACCTACTTTTATATCTTTAGTCAAATAAGAATTTCAATATACAAATTTTAACATGACTTGATAGTAATTAGAACCAAACTTAATTAACCTGATCCAATGGTGATCCGACTTTGACTGCAACTAAGAATATAATGGACTAGCTTGAAATTTATTTGACCTAATGAGAGCAATATATATTTAACCAGGAGCAAATTTATATAACCTACTGTTTCGGGGTTTTCTGATGTCCTGCGGGAGAGTTACAATTCCGAGACTGGAACCGGGCGCCTGTACCTGCAAAACAAACGGATGCTCCGGATGATTGGAGATCCGCCTCCGACGGTCAAGTTAGTACTTGATTAAGGAGTAATTAATGCGGAAATTAAAGTGATTGGGTCTCTCTAGGTGAGAGAGTTTAATGTGTGTAATCTGCGTAATCTCCCTTAATGAGGATTAAGGGAGGTATTTATAACCTCGGGAAACGTGCCAATCTAGGTTTAGGTTAACCTTGGGCTGATTGGGCTTCCCACGGAAGTTGGCCCTAGGTGACCGGTTATCCCAGGTGTCATGGGAAGGACACGTGTCGTGTCATAATTGGTCCATAGTGGACGGATCATTGCTTGACACGTGGCAGGCTCCTATTGGCCCATGTGACGGACACATGGCGGAACCTGATTGGTCCATTTGTCAGATGGTGATTGGTGGGGAAAAATCCCCTAATCATTTGCCCCTCACAGGTGGCACGTGACTGGTCACATGTTACCTGTGACAGGTATCGCCCTGTAACAGGCGACGGCCTGCTACAGGTGTCACTCGGCGAGAAGCCAAGAGATTCTCCCGCCAAAATTTTGAATTCTGGAAGTGACCCTTCGCCTTCTCACTTCGCCTATATAAAGGAGTGTTGACTTCGGTCATTTTCACACTTGAAAACTTTGTGAGAGAACATTCGGACCCCTGAACTTGCTCTGACATTTTGGACCCTTTCTGCCTACCGCCTGCTCTGACAAGCCGACTGCAAAGGATTTTCAGAACTTCATCAATCGTCACTCGTTCAGGTAACCGTCGGTTCTCTTACTCTTAATTTCCTCTTTACTTTATTCTTTTTTTGAAATGGCACCACGGAAGCACACGACACGACCTAGGTTAGTGATCAGCCGGTCACCGGGGACGGCTGAATCTAGGACTAGGAGTGCCGCCTGCCCTATTCTGGACCCATCTTTGCCCTTTATACAAAGTCCGACTGTATCTGTGTCTGTGCAGAGCATGATGGCCAGAACAAAAAAGACTGCCAGGATCTCAAACTCAAACGGCTCCTCCCACAGGGTGCCGATTAGTGAAACATCTAACCAGGCGCCAGATGTGGAAGTGAAACAAAGCGGCTTGAAAGCCGACAGTTCTGAGGGAGGAGTCAAAGTGACCCCTTCCCATTTTACAGTTGACAATTCTACATTCTCTCCTGCTCCTTTTAAAGGAGAGGAGGCGGGCCCCTCCGGGAGAGGGGAGGATTCGTCCTCTTCGGACTCGTCAGAGGACGATTCCGAGTCTAGCTCTTCTGGCCATGCTTCTCTGGACACAGAAGAGAAAAATAGTCGCCTACAAGAGGCGAGGCTTTCTCACGCAGTTGAGAAGGGGGACAATTGGGCGGAGCCATCCGCCTCTCACCGAGAGCAAAATACCCCCTACTACTGCACGGTACCTCGGGGCCGGATCACAGCCATGCAAGAGAAAGTGGAGAGCTTTATCGCAAACCACACAATGGGCCCCGGCTTTTTAGTGTTCGTGCCGGATCCAGAAGACACAGTCGTCTGGCCGGCTGGTACCAGTTATGATGGCGCTTGCTTTGGCTGCTACGAGGCGGCCATCAAGGCTGGGCTGCGCTTCCCACTACATCCGGCTGTTCAGCGGATCTTGGATGGGTATGAGTTGGGGTTATGGCAGTTAGCCCCGAACTCCTGGGTCAACGTACTCGGCTATGTGGCCGGGTGCGAACTGCACGGGGTGGAGCCGAACTTCGAGGCTTTCGCCCACATGAACTACC